ATCTTGAAACAACTCGGAAGTTCCTCAGGCTGAGCTACGGTGTATAGCTACAGGGTGGCTACGGCGGTGCACAGCAGCTCGGTGTACTGTCACTGGAGCCCACGGATGTCAGCAGACGTACGGATGCCGGCCAGGTGTAGGACTTCAAAAGGTGAACATAAAAACCCTAAATAATATTGGTTGTCTTAGAAAAGAGCCTCAATTATAGAACAAGGACTAGCACAACGTGTAGGAGTTAATAAAGGTAATAAAGAAGGACTAATCAAATCTGAACTTTACCTCAACGAGAGTTTATGATGTCCATCGGGTAACTCTACACACGGGCAACAGGAACGGATGGAATTCTGGACTGTTCTTGTGCTACGGTCTGGATCGGTCTTCTTGCTCTACAATTACGAACAACCAAATAAGATTTAAGAAAGATAACACTCAACTAATCTTTCTACACCACGTGGGCGTGGAAAAGTCGAAAACCAGAAAACAATATGAACAAAAATCAGTTGAGCATTGACTTAGAATAGGCAGAAGAATTATAGCATACCTTGGAACTGTCGGGGACTTCTTGGGCACGTGGAATCGGAATATCGGTCGGAAAATTTGGCTATTTAATCCCTTACGGAAATTGGTCGGTGGTCCATACAAATCAACAAAATCCAACCACGTCTCTAACCAAATGTGTTTCGGAAGCCTTAATCCTTCTCTAGGAAGACCTGTTAACTACCAACAGGAAATGCTTCACGAAACGACAGCCAGTTCTTCACGACGACACTCTTCAGTCGGTGGATACACAAGAAGTGATGCAAGGATTCGATTTCCTTCACAAAACCAGATTTCAACCGGAAATCTCCCTCCAGGATATAGATAGAGAACTATATATCTCGACTAGTCCAACTCACAAAAAGGCATAAATAAAAAAACGACGTTCTAGAATATTTTTCATTGTCATATTTCATATCCGGTCAATGAACGAACTTATTCACAAATTCCCACCATTAAATGAACGAATTGCACACTGCGATCCACATCAAAAATAACCAATTTAACTACGAAATTTTATCTGATAATTATAAAATTTCAATAACCAAAACAAAGGATAAATAAATCCAAAAACATCTGATTTGATCTGACAGTGACAAGGGACAAGTGATTCTAATGCTGGGCGGCATCCAGTGATAATATTCTGTGGCTCTATAGCGCGGTGTATATCGGGTTGCATAATTGTAAAATTTAAATAAAATAATATTTACCAATAAAATTATAGTAAACATGATGCAAAAATAATAGCTATTTGCGATATTTTATGAGCTAGCACACAGAGGTCGTTGCGAGGAAATTTGACTGTTACAAAATGACGTTTTTAAAAAAATGAGTTTTTTTCTTTATTATTTTGCTTCCGACGGCGGAAAAAGATATATTTTTCGCAATGTTAAGCATTTTTTTGTCTGTCCAGCAAATTTGTTTATTATTAAATCACTGTTGACAATTAATCTCCGGTGGATTAACGCAACAGTGTTTAAAAAATATAACTATTTTATTTTGTAGATTTTCTTACAGTGGCAAAATATCCATATGAGTTTTTTGGAGAGGAAAAATTTATATATTTCAATATAAATATACTATGTTTTTTTATATTTAGCCCTATTTTCAAGATTTTTTTAGAAAACTGTACATAAATACATCTACTTTAACTGGTAAACATAGTTTTTTATAAAATTTTGTATCGTTATCGTTGGAAACATAGGAAATCCCATGCAAATTTTGAACTGTTCAAATATTGACTCCCCTTTTGATTTTACAACGAAGTGGAAAATATATTTTTTAAAGGTTTATGTATGGTAAATACACATGCCAAATTTGAACAATTTTGGACCAGTCGATTTTGAGCAATTTAAGAATGATTGCATCTATTTCTATATCGAAACAGAACAGGTAAAAATCAAATACCAGTCAAAAACCGACATACCTTAGGCTTACAAACTATGATTCTGTCATTGTTAAAAGTAATTTAATTTTAATATTCAGGGGAAATTAAGTGAAATATGTCAGATATACTGGTCTAAGTTATTTCCCGCGTAGTATTTATATGTATCATGTGTTTATATGTAACATGCTCACTTTTAAGTGTACAGGGTATCCCAGGCTGAGCGTGCATTAGAAGTTTCTAGAGAACTACAATATCTACATCGGATATTTTTTGCCACATGATTGTTTCACAAAGAGATCTATCAATTATAAATATTTTCAATTTGGCGGCACTTCCAGAAATACCAGAAGTTGACAGCAACTTTCTTATTTTAAATGGGTACCCCCATTTTTATTACACATTTAAATTCGCTGTAAAATTTTATGAATTTTGATGTTAAACACTCTATACCTAAGATTAACCGTTTTTGAGAAAAAAAAATATTTAAAATTTTTGGACGAAAAAAAGTGCCTGTCAAAAATATGTGTATAGCCTAAACCTTAAATTTAGTGATTACCACAGCCACTGTGCCATAAAGAGAAGACATGTGGTGGCTATCTATTTCAAAAATGAAATTGTTCGAATGTCATATAATAATGACCGCAGCTGTCATGGAATCGAGCGATTAAAAATTATCATAAATCATTTTTTTCAAATGGAAACCCACTTTTTTATTTCGCTAGTGAAAAGGCTTTATAATTCGTTACTTTTTGACTAAACATGTCCCTATACCTAAAATCAATTGTTTTTTAGTTATTTAAAATTTAATTTTAAAGCGTATATTTTTCTTCATTTTAACCAGTGCCTATGACTTTAAATGTCAGGTGATGTAAAACAATAGATCTGGCCATGTCATATTATGCTACTTTGTTCAAAAAGCAGTATATTATCGGTCATCATTTCCAAGCCAACTTTGCGCTGTTTTTTTTTCGATCTATTAATAATATCAACTATTAGATATCACTAAAGAGCGAAAATATGGGATATATGTTTATAAATACACTTTTTGAATTAATATATTTTCTCACTGACGAAAATAAATTGTCCGACTGTTTTGACACTGACTGAAATTGACACTTAATGTCAAAGGAAGCTAGATAAAATCAAGAACAATATACGTTTTCAAACTAAATCTTAAATAACTTAAAAACGATTTATTTTAGCTATAGGAACATGTATACTCAAAAAGTAACGAATTGGAAAACCTTTTCACTAGTGAAATAAAAAGTGAGTTTCCATTTGAAAAAAATGATTTATGATAATTTTTTATCGCTCAATTCCATGAAAGCTACCACCATTATTATATGACATTTAAACAATTTAATTTTTGAAATAGATAGCTACAGTCTTCTCTTTATGTCACAGTGGCTGTGGTAATCACTAAAATTGACTTTTAGACTATACAAATTTTTTTGACAGGTAGATTTTTTCGTCCAAAAATTTTAAATATTTTTTTCTTCTCAAAAACGGTTAATGTTAGGTATAGAGTGTTTAACATCAATATTCATAGAATTTTGCAAAGAATTTAAGTATGTAATAAAAAATGGGGGCACCCATTTAAAATAAGAAAGTTGCTGTCAACTGCCGGTATTTCCGGAAGTGCCGCCATATTGAAATTATTTTTAATCGATAGATCTCGTTGTAAAACAACAATGTATAAAAAATCTCCGGTCTAGAAATTGTGATTCTCTAGAAACTTCTAATGCATTCTCAGTTTGGGACACCCTGTATAACAATAAATTATTATAGTTTCTCCAACGACAAGATCCTTGACTAATATATTTAAATTAATTAATTATTAATTAATATATTTAAATTTTGAGTGACAAGTGATTACTTAAAAATATTGTGAAAAAAACTGTATAGGACTGAAATTTAATCTTGGTTAATTAATTTTAATCTTAATTTTTTTCTGCAGTACTAAAATGTATTATTTACCTATCGTGTGATGTTATTTTACAGATACTCCAGTTTTTGGTACCATATACGAAATGGTATACAATTTTATTTGTGGCTAACACAACTCTCTCTGGCCATAGTCTCTGCACGCACTGAATATTAATTGTAAACTATGGTCTGGGACAACACTTAATTTGCCCTCGAGTTTTCCTCCACTTAATTTTAAAAAACACGAAACACAAGTAACATCACCGTCAAAAATGCAAAACGCAAAATATTTATCATTTCTATTTGACATAATTTGACACAAAATTATAACCTATAATTGGCAAGAGTTTGACAATTCTCAAAAATCTTAAGTCGAGTTAATACGCATAGGCGTCCGTTTGTCGTTCATCGTTGCGTCAAGCCAATAATATTGAAATATGATCTGTCATTTTTGAAATAAACCAATAAAACTGGTTAAAAACAACAAGAGACGACGCATGACGTATTTATTTATAAACCCATCCATAATTAACTTAAAAATATTAGAAACTTTTTTTTAGTGAAATAAATGGATTGGTATGGAAGTCATCTGCTTTTTTTCTGTCATCGTCTGTCGCAATCTTACCTGAGAAAAAAAAACAGAGTATACTAGTACTGAACATTAAAATTTTATTAAAATTAAGTTACGTTTGAAAATGGCATTGACAACTTCAGGTATGTCAATTTTTGACTGGTGTTTGATTATTACCTGTTCAGTTTTGATTTAAAAATAGATGCAGTTTTTTCAAATTACTCAAAATCTGCTTGTCCAAAATTGTTCAAATTTGGTATGTGTGTTTACCAGACCTAAACCTTTAGAAAATCTATTTAAAATCAATAGAGGAGCCAATACAGTTCAAAATTTGCATGGAATTTCGTATGTCTCCAACGACGCGCGACGATGCGCCACCCGGTATACATTTTGCTTTTTACCAACAGGGCTATGAAAATATGACTAAAAAAGAAACACTAAATACTTTAAATTTAACGAATAATTTTTGTGTTGTTTCTTTTTGCATCTGAGTGAATATATTTTTTTTTATTTTCCTCTTTAATGTTAATTCATTTATTTTTCTTATAAAAAAATATAACGTTATAAAGTCTATCTTACCGTTCGGTCTCCTGGATGTTTAACCCTGCAACTCAATATAGTGGATTGCCCCACCACCGCTGTAACGTTTCTGGGTCCTACGTCGTCGAAATGGGGCTTCTGGGGCTTGCCGGAAACCGTTTCCGATAATTTGCCTTTTGTGTGACCACTTTCGGATGCTTCGTGGTTAGGTAGACCCACTAAGTCCGCGTGACCTGAAAAGAAAAAGAAAATGTGAATCAGATACTAACATATTGTGAAAAAAAAACATGAATAAAGATTTTATTAAGTAAGATTTAATATAATAAACAAAATAAATAGAAAATGTTAACATCAAGTTATGTTTATTAAAATGTAACGTAAACAACAGCAATGACAAATAACTACTTCAGACTGGTTTAAAATGAATTAGAAATTAATTACAAATTTAAGTATCGAGCACTTTATAGACTATATGAGATTTTATGATATTTTACTCAGAGATTATAAAGTAGATTTAATAACGTTGTGTTTGAAATAATTAATTACCAAGATGTAGAACAAAAGCGAACATGAGCATGGATTCTTACTAGTCGTACTTTATAGATGGATAAATTCAATTATCAAACCATAAAGTATCTATTAGATAGTAAGTGAATTTTCATATTAATAGAATTCTCGCAAAAATATTTCATATTTTTTTGTATAAAAAGCATTCGAATTGTAACTTGCAATATTTTAATTAAATGCATTTGCATGTTGACTCAAAATGTTCTATTCTAAAATTCGCCGAATTGATTTGGTTTGGTTTGGGATCGGATTCTATATTCTAATGTATACAGGGTTATTCACCACATACGACAAGGAGTATTGTAGCCAAATCTATGGTTAAGACGTAATCGACATGTCGAACTCAATAATAAAAGTTGACGCCCAACTATGGAAAAAGTTACAGTGGCTCCAAACTTACTGCATAAAATTAATATGATTTAAGCTTCATCCAGAACCTCGCAATTAGTGGAATAAATGAGTGATTTTCATTACACTGTATACATTTTAGTTTACGATCATTCACAATATTTAAAAAACACAATTAAAATTAATAAAATATCTTAGCAATAGCTTGCGTTAGTCAGTTGTATCCATAGAGAAACCCTAATATTGAGCCACAATTTCTTTTGACGGAATATAATGAAAGACCAAAATGACATTTCAAATTTTAATTAGTGGAAAAGTTAAAAGTTTGATAACATTTTTTACTAATTGAAAATGTCTACCACTAATTTTGACGTTCTGAATGCTTACATTGAAATTAAAGGAACACACTTATACAGAACGTCTGTCCGTTTGTAGCTACGGGGTATCCGTGAGAGGGGAAAAGATATTCTCTCGATGTTTTTCGTAAAAAATTAGACGACGCGTCCCATGAATAAAAATTCGACAAATTTGCAAGTAGCCAATAAAATAAGTGGGCGGAGCGATTTCCGGTGACGTATTCGTCAAGTCGACGTATAAAATATATTGCTGTTTATTTAAATGTTTTTTGTCCGCATTTTTTTCATAGACACAGATCCAGCAGACGTACTGTACGCTAATTTAAACCACTAATTTATTCCACTAATTGCCAGGTTCTTAATAAAGCTTTAGTTTTTGCTTGATAGTTATTAGTGATATAGACAAGTCAAAACTTTGTGGTGTAATATTTCAAAATTAAGAACAAAGTCAGCCGAAGAACATTTTTTTTATTTGAGAATCACCCATAGAGCAAATAGTCTAAGTTAGGTTAGAACAAACTTTGCACGTAACGAACAACGACAAATAAAGGTAGAAGGATGTAAATTTCCAATGATAAACGATTTTTCCGAGCCAGAGCGCGGATGAGGGAAAAACTCCGGGAAAGTCCGGACCTCCGGAGGAAAAGTAATGGTTCGTCTAGAGAAAAGCCCGATGTATCATTTAGCGCTTTAGGACTGAGACTACATTTTTCACGTAATCATCTCGGATTAGGATCAAGCCCTGTGCAAAGAAAAGAAAGAAAAAATCCTTTTTTATTTATTTAAAATAAATTGCCCTACCCAAAAGGCGAGATATTATTGCTTTAGATATTGCGGCAACCTTTTACTTAATATTATACTTTTTGAAAATATTATCACACCCATATCCTGTCTGGATTTGACTCTTCAAATCCTCAAAACGTGATATTTGCAGAGTATTTTACAATTCACCAAAGAACATAATTTACAAATCAACTATAAAATAACGGAGGTTAAAATTGGTAGATACAGTAGTTCTGTTAAAAAATCCTTCATGAGGAAATGGGGGAATAAATAATATAAATTGAGAGAAGTACGTCTCATCATGACGCTCTAAGCCTGATTAATATCAGGCTTGCTTGAAGTTTCACTTAATAGTGAAACTTCTTATTAATAGCTATTAAATTGAAGGATTTGAAGGATATGTATGAAAAAGTGTAGTTTAAAATAATGAAAAAGTAATAAATGATTAATTCACTTTCACAAAATTTGTATTAAAATGACCATCTGTCCGTCTGAGGACTCCTTTCGGGTACTTCTATCCACATACCGAGTTTGGTTCCAATCGATCCATAATTAAGAAAAATCCTGATGATTTCGTCCATTTAGAGGCATCGGTTCGAAACGTCGAGAGAGTTATCTTGTAGCCTGTACCCCGTTAGTGCTCTGATGAAGATATAAACGAAATGTCGTATCTAACTTTGCAGAGCGGGACCGTGTGCTCACGTAGTCTACCCACCAAATTTGCGATCGGATGACATCAACTTTTGACGTTTCTTACGTCAAAATTAACTGTCACAGTGACACGTGTCGTTCATTTAAATCGGACGATTTTTTCGCCATTGACGATGATGTTTCATAGTGCACGAAACGTCGTCAAAATATCATGAAAAGATTGTACCCGAGTTTCAGCCCTCTAGCTCACATAGGGCCCAAGTTACGATGTTCCAAAGATCTCAACGTCCTCATTGGCTTACCACTTTATGTGACGCGTTTCCTAATGCTAGCTCGTGTATCACGGCCTTCAATTTTTACTCTCAGCGCGCGTAAAGAAGTTTCACTTCAAAAAGTCTTTGTCGGTGCCTTTGTCGGTATCGGCTGGACAAAGGACATAAAACTCTCAATACTTCCAACTGACTTCGGAAATACTGTATCTATCTAGTACTGTTTTCGAGAAAAGAAAAACAATTCATTGCATGTCTCCAGACCCACTAAATAACTTCAAAAATTAAATTCCAATTTCCACTTAGTGTAAACTACTTGATAAATAAAATACTTGATAACAAAGTTAAACAACATTTTTTGTTTAATTGCGTTTTAAAGCACGTACACAACTTTGCAGTTTATGATTGACATGTTCTATAAAAGATACACTAATAAAAATATTTTCTTGAATAAAGAGTATACTCTCATCCCAAAACCATATGACTTTCATATTTATATGTCGATGTTTTGATATTTTGGTTGAACTAACTAAATTCTCTAAGATAACGCTTACTTCATTTAAAGAATCACTCTTAAATAGACGATACAGGTATTTTTTGTTTCAAGTTTATAGAGCTAGATTCCTATACTCTTGATGTACAGGGTGGGTCAAATTCGACGCTTTTAAATGGAAACACCCTTTTCTATAGGAGATAGACGAAAACTAATATCGGTGTCTGGAGCTCAATTTTCATCAAAAATATTATGGTGAAAACCGCACATCAATATCTGTTACCGTTTCGGAGTTACGGGGTGTTTTTCAAAAATGTGCCTTTTTAACAAATCGCTGTAACTTTTTTGCTATGGAAAATTTTGTATTTCTATGAAAACATTTCCAAAGCACCTTTTTACGTAAAATTTAATGGTTTAAGTATAATTTTTTTAAAATTAATAATTTAAGAGTTATCAACAGAAAAATTGATTTTTTATTTGGGACGCCCTCTATATTTTTAAATAACTGAAAATAATTTAAAATTACCTTTCCAAAAATATAGTACCCTTGATATTTTGTTATAATCCCCTTCGAAATACAGAATTTTAAAAGTTCGCCACTTTTAACTAGTAGGCTTTGGACACCTTATTGATGATATGCCCTTAATGGAACTCGAAAACATATTTTTCCAGCAAGACGATGCACCGCCTCTCAACGCTGAAGTTATCAGCAAATTTTTGCAGCAAATTTCAAGAATAATTGGATAGCTAACCAAGATCCCAGCCGTTGGTCGTCGAGGCCGCCTGACTTAGTGCCCATGGATCTATTCCTATGGATATATTTGCGGAAGAATAAAGGTTCCTTATTTTTCCGTATAATTTAGACAAGAATTAAAAATACTTAGCAGTTATGAGAGGATATCTTTGAATTAAGAAAAAAAAAAGAAATGTTCAAAAACTGCCCCGTCTGTCCAAACAGAAGACGGTCTATATGTCGAACACCTGTAGCAAAATCTCATGTCTTGGTTTGCTATTTATTTTTATTGTTATTAGATATAGTTTAAATGTGTTGATGTTGATTAAATATATTTTAAATTGTTATAAAATTCTGCATCTCTCATAGCAAATATTATTTTCATTTTAATTGATGCTCACAGCTAGATTTTTTTGCATTATAGCTGGTGCCGTTCAAAGCCTTCCTTATTTAGAGCGGGCGAATTTTTATATACTCTATATCTCGAAGAGGAATCGAGCAAAATATCAAGTGTGTTATATTTTTGGAAAGGTAATTTTAAATTCTTTTCAATAAATTAAAAATGTACAGGGTGTCCCATATAAAAAATCAAATTTTCTGTTGATAATTCTTAAATTATTAATTTTAAAAAAATTATACTTAAACCATTAAATTCTACGTAAAAAGGTGCTTTGGAAATGTTTTTATAAAAATACAAAATTTTCCATAGCAAAAAAGTTACAGCGATTTGTTAAAAATGCATATTTTTGAAAAACACCCCGTAACTCCGAAACGGTAACAGATATCGATATGCGGTTTTCACCATCATGTTTTTGACAAAAGTTGAGCTCCAGACACCGATATTAGTTTTTGTGTATCTCCTATAGAAAAGGATGTTTCCATTTAAAAGCGTCGAATTTCACCCACCCTGTACAAGAGAATATTTCTATCCATGTAAGCCAATTTTGACTCTTTTTATAAACTATGTGGGCAAAAGTAATGCACATTTAAAGAATAAATTTGCTAGATATACAGTGTCTTTCTATACCGGGCG